CAGCCCCCGCCTCGCCAGAGGCTGCAGGGAAGGGCAGCTTTGGGGTCGCCTTTACCCGTTTCCAACGGTTGGCAACAAAACTTCTGCCCCTAATTTAGGTTCGGGATCAGCGTGTGCGTAGCCACACGGATCCGTCAGCGATGTCTGCCCGTGCGGTGTCCTGGCAAAGGGGAGCTCGTAAGTAGCTGTAGGCGTTACACCCAGCGAAACCTAAAAGTTACAGCTAGTCCTTGGGAGACAAAACTGTAGCTGATATTCTGCTGCTGCCTAATTAACGTCTTTCATTCGTGAAAGACGTTTTTGGCTTGTTTTATTCGTTGCTGCTGAAAAGCTGTTTTCAGAGCTGTCAGGTCCATAAACACCAACAGTGAACAGGTCCAATTGCCACACATTGAGAATAGCTTGTACACATGGGAGGGAACGATAGCCTTAATGTCAGATATACCCTGAAAAACGGCCAAATCGCAAGCCTCTCATGCAAAAATATTCTCAATTTCTAACGGATTATAACAAGGAGAGTAGCTTTCTGAAACCTGTTGTTCTCTGCATTGTAGTAACTACCTCTGTATGTCAGGTGCTGCTGTAAGTCCGTCTTCTCTTTGGTGAATTGTTATTTCGGAGCCAAACTAATTTTAGAATACTTCCGGCAACTGCATTGACTGATCATATTGCAATCTTGTGAATATGTAAAAGCCGTGAGAGTTAAAAATGTGATTGTCACAGTCAGCCTTAGTCTTTCACAGCCAAAAGCTATTAAAGTGACAGAAAATGGCATAGCTTCCCCTGAAAGAGTATCTCTAAGTATTTTTTTTTCAGTATACTATTAATATATTTTCAATTTAACATTCGTTTATTTAGGAAGGCCAGGTGGGTTTGAGGGGTAGAAAACATTGCAGTTCTTTTTGAAGATATAGCCCACAGCTGCAGCTGTTGATGGCATTGCTGGATTTTGTTTTTATTTTTTTAGGTTTGTGTGTACTGCGTCATCAATGAGTCACAAGCCTCAAGAGAATGCATATCACTGCAAGTATCAAAAAAGCAGTTTTAAGTTCATGATTAGTTGTTTTTCCTAGTAATTCAGAGGCAGTTGGAGTTTCTAAGAAACTATAATCCAGATAATTTTAGTGTAGTCTTGTCTCAATTCTAAAAATTTTTATTATATGAATATCTTAGGGAAGTAACAGCTAATTCAACAAGATGCATGATCATATTCACGTTGTATGACAAACAGCAATTCAGGCTATCCATGAAAAGATTCAAAAGCATTTAGACAGTCTTTTTCTTAAATTTTTGTTAATCGTATTTTTTTTTAGTTGTTTCCAACAGCACTTAAGAACATCTGAGAGTAATACCTACTCTGTTTCATGTTCGAATGTTGAAGTTACCAGATGTCCTTGATTCATCTTGGCAGTCCCCATGTGCTTTTCATCATTTGTCTAATTGCAAAGGACACTAATTAAAATGAAATAGAGTAGAACTTTGTACTCAGGATACTTTGTCAAGTTTTGGCACTATGGTCAAGTTAGTATTGTTTTGCTTCATTATTAAATAAAGAGCTTATGGCTGTAAGCCATGCTGACATTTGTTTCTGGGAGGGAAAGGTGAAAAACTGTTCTTATTAACCTGCAATGTGGAACATATGGGAGCTGTGGGTGGTATGGCTAAGTCAGGCAGCCAGGAACCTGCTATCACTTCGCTGTGTGGAGACAGTGGGGTGGGCAATTACCACAGGAGGTAGCCGCACTGTTACTGACTGCTCTCCAGAAAAGGATGCTCTAAATACAATGTATTTTCCAGTAAAGCACTAACTTATGAGAGGCGTCTTTGGTACTATTATGAAATGTTTTTAGTATTCAGCAACCCTGGAAGCTAAATTTAGAATGCCTCTGCGCACTCTGGATCGCTGGGTAGTAGCAGTATGAATGGTTCCTACATGATGAGGTTAGGTGGATGGAACAAGCTCACAATTCATAAAATTTTGAGTCTGAAATCATTGGTTTGCAACGTATTGTCAAATAGAGGGTAAGACTTGCACCAGACTTGAGAAGGAAACACAGGTGTTTGTATCCCTTTTGGCTTCATAATGTTGTGCTTTTTTTTTTTAAATGAGGTTTTACAGTGTTGTTTTGGAATAAATCTGTTTCATTTTAGCCTTAAAATGATGTCTTCCTCTTTCTCATTTTTCTGGTGAGAAATAAGCAGGATTTCAGCGGGCCTTGGGGAGGTGACCTGAATTGTATGGAGTACAAAAAGAAGTGCTTTTTAATTTTATGTAACCTTTGGAAGTGATTCCTGTACACTGACAAGTAGAAAACACGTAGGGGCATTAAGAATGTTTTGACAATGTTTAATATACCTATGATATATGTTCCAATACCATACAAAAGAGTATAATGGGAAAACCCAATGGTAAATAAATTGCCTTTCTAAAGTGATCTCTTTAAAAAGTAGGGCTTTTGCAATAAACCAGAAGTAATTTTAGAAGCTATATTCTGTTTTTCTGGCCAGATGAAACCATCAGAAGAGCAAGTACTTGCAAGCCTTTGGCTGTTCTTATTTTGAAGGAACGTCTGCTGTTGAATCTAGTGTGTGTATGGGATAACACATGAAATAAAGCTTGCAATCTACTGTTGAAAGAGATTGAAATTCTTTATATGTATTCACATGATCAATATCAGTCACTTTGTGAATGTGAGTATATGTAAGTCTGTTCTTTTTATAGCTCATTAAACTCAATGAGATCATTATTGTTCAATTCACTAAAAGAATTTCAATTGCTTAAGAGTAAGATCAGCAAGAATTTGAAAGGAATACAGTGAGAAGGCTCTTGTTGACAAGCCACATCAAGCTCCAGTTAATTTTCTTAGGTTCAGTCTTTGTTCAGCTGCAGTTTTAAGAAGCACAGTAACTTCTGTTACCACAGTTTTAGTGGCTGTTTATCATAATAAGTACTGTATTAAGATGTTCTTAAATACCAAAGTCCTTATTTCTATTTCTTTCTCTCGTGTTTTTTTTTTTCCTAAAAGAAAAGGGTAAAGTCAGCTTTTCCAGTTTAATAGTCAAAGATTATTCTGAAATATCCACATCCATTGCAAAACAACAGGATTTCAGGCCCGAATCCTACTTCCAGCTGTCATGGAAATTTCCAGTCCCATTCCAAAGGAAAATTCCATGTTCAGCCTTCCATTTAGACCCTTGTTCTTTGAATAGCAATAGTGAGAAACAGGGCATTAGTCCATGCCTATTTAGTCAGATTTAGAAATCTGTTGCAGAGAAGTATGTGGAAGAAAGAACTAATGAAAAGCCAGGCCCTTCAACATGACTAGACAGGTTTGGAACACTGTCAAAGCAGACATAGCACAACATACCTTGTTTCCCGTTAACAAAGGCAAAGGCAAAATTTGTTACATCATAAAACCTTTGACTGACTGATTGAAGTGTGCCTGTAGATTAGCACCCATAGGATTGCCTCAGCAAAACACAGCTGACCACATAACACTCAGTAATGCGGTCTGGGTGTTGTCAAATGGTGAGATCATCCTGCAGGCAGGAGCATGCCAGGGTCCAATATCTTCTTGTTAAGGTTGATCCACTTCAGCCATCACTCGTTCTTCATTATCATAATTTCCTTTTACTGCTAAATGGACATGAGGGCTTGCTGGCAGTGTTACTGTGCCAGGCCCTTCCTCTGTACTTTTCCATTTTTGCAAAGCATTTTGTCTGAGGCTGAAGTCCCACAGCACCATAACGTGTGAATAAAGCACTGCTGGAATTCCCAAGCCTGAAGCTCACCTTTGCTCAGAGGAGGCAATACAAAATGGTGTACCACTTAAATCCCATTTATGCTCTGTCCTAGGAGTCTAACGGTGTGTGCGTATTCTGCCCTTTTCGGGTGGAGGGTGACGTTCATCCTAAAATGAGAGCAAAGTTCAAGCCACGCTTGTTAAGGCAGGTGCCTAGTGGGATTTAAAAAATTATATTGGTTCTTCCACAGGCTTACTTTAAATGACTTGTTCATCATCTTACTGTAGATTAGACTCCTGATTCTCTGATATCCTGCTCCAGTCACAAGCCCTTGAATTTTACAGTCACCTACTTAGAAATGTCTCTTAAAAAACCCAAAAAACAACACCTTAAAAAAAATCAGCCATTTACGTGAGTACTGGAAACCAGCCACTGTTGTGTCCAGACTCTGGCCATTATTATTGTAATATATGCGCTGGAAGAGTACAAATAAAATAGAATCGTAGGATTCCCAGACTTTAAAGTACATATGCAGCTCATGCTAACTTCTTTGAACAGTCTCAAATTCTATGTTTTAGTTACAGAAATTTGTGTTAATTATTAAAAATAATGAATAAGTGATTTTTAAAGAGATAGTCATGTGATGCATTCCATAACATTTACAGTCAAATGTGTAGTAAGTTTATATAGTAAAAAAAGGTGTTACAAATAACGTTGGAATCTCATATTGACATGCTATACTTTATATGCATAAATTTCATCCTAAGGAGACAATTTGTTCTTTAGTCCAAAACATTTTATTTTAGCAACATGTATAATACAAAAAGAATCACTAAGTAAGTGTAGTTGTAGCTGTGTTGCTAAAATTGCAGTTGTTCGCACTAAATAAATTAGAGTATTTGAAGTATACACATCATAAATTTAAAACTCCAAAATAATGCAAGCAAGTATTCAAACACCCTGTTTGGAGGCTTTGAGAAAAACATTCACATCCAATTAGAACCATTTACTGAAGTCTGTAGGGTTTCCTTTTTACCTTCCTGTACACATTGCTAGATATTTTATATTTTAAACATTCCCTTTGCTCATTGTTTGAAACAGAAATGTGATTTTTTTTTTAATATCCTGATGCTTCTCTGGCTCCATTTAAATCGATGGCAAGTAATTCTTGTAAAAAAATGAACAGTATTGGCTATAATTCTTGAAGAGTGACTTAGTAAAACACATAGTTTTCTATGCATCCTTTCAGCATATAAGCTAACATTTTTACTGCTTTTATATTGATTGAACTGTTGCTTTTAATACCATTTATTATTTCTGTAGATATAGTTAAAACTGTAGAGCTTAGACTCTCTAATAAATAGATAGTGCATATTGTACGAGTATTTCTTGCTTGTAGGAAGCAAGACAGTAGCTTACAATTTAACATTTGCGCATTTGTGGGTGAAATTCAGTACTGGGAAGGGGGCCAGTTCCCGGTGATTTCATTCTTCAGTATAGAACATTAATGCAGAAATCTTGCACTAGTCAAGGGAAGCCAACTCTCCTGACCCTAATCATCCAAAATGACTCCATGGCTAGAAGCCACAAGCTGTTGAGTTCGCAGCCTGGGGAGCCAGCGATAGGGGAAGCCTGGGAGCAGGTAGCAGCTGGCACTGGTTCCTCGAGTCGACGGGAGGTCTGGTGCAGAGGACAACTGGGCAGGCTGCTCGGCGGCCCTAAGACACTGCCAGCTCTGGCAGCCAGTGCTTCCCATTCCCCTACAGCCGGGCTCCTGTGTGCAAACCCTTCGTAGGGCCATTGTGCTTGAACTGGTTGGGAATCACACAGTAACTTCCCTGGTTCTCACCCTGTAAAAAGAAATATTATTTCCCTTATGGACTCTGTTGCAATATTTGTGTTACTGCAATATAAGTGCTCTATTTATTCAGTTTCCCTCAAGGTAGTCTGTCTTAGGACAAGAAAGCATCAAACCATACTTCAAAACTTAATCAAGTATATTTCATATAGAATTAGCATGTGTTAAAACAGTGTAACACAGCTTAAAGTGCCTTTCTAAAGAATTATGAGCCCGAGTGCAGTAAAGACAATCTCTTCTGAGAAACTGGAACATAATGACTTGTCCCTCCAACTTACGTATCTTCTTTTGTTCAGAAAAAGGCAGGCAGTAAGGATTTCACCTTTGTTGTTAATCCATGAAATGCCTTAGAATAAATCTGATTCTAAGCTTAGTCCCCCCAAAATAACTGAGGGAACTGTAACTGCAATTCAACAGAAAAATAGATGTTATATTTTAAATGGTTTTTTTTCTCAACATTGTATTCAACATTCAGGCTAGCAGCTGAGTCTCCTTCCACATTAGTCAACCCGTTTGAATTCAATGCGAGACTGATTGCATAACTTGAACCTTGGCTACACCTTCTTACGTTCAGCTAAGCTATTTCTTCTCTGTGTTTTCTTAAATTTATTCTAGTTGGACGCTAGTTGATTTCTTGGTGTTTCATAATGGAAAAGGTGCAGAACACATAAAATCAGGAAGAAAAAATTGTTGTTTTCCCTGTCCAAACTAGAGTTTCAGAGCAGGATTCTGGCTTGAGAAGAAGTACACTGTGACCACAATGTTTTCCTGTTGCCAAGCCCTGTGGTAGACACTGTATTCTTGTTGTGGTGATGAAGTAGGTGCCTACACCACAAGTAAATGTCATCACTACAAAATGGAATAATTCTAAACTCGGCATGATAGTTAAAGCTTTTTCAGAAAACTGGGACTTAAGCAGCGAATCAGATGACCTATTTTATTTTTGATTCAGTGCCGTGACGTTGGCTAGTTAGAATCTCACTTTTTGTGCAGTCATAAAATTCTCTCGTGCCACTCACTATTGTGCACCGATGCTGTGAAATGCAAGAGAATTCCAGGCACACATAAGAAAATATCAACTTGCCGTGGAAGATTTATTGGTGAGACAACGGTCAAATTCTTCTTTATATGCAATTCTAAGCCTGGAACAGCTTCCTTGTCTCCAGCAGATGAGAACGAAATCTGGCTCATTTAATCTAATTTTGTCTCCGCCAACAGAACCTTCTCTCTAGTTCTGGTCTGCAGAGCTGATTTTATAATAGCTTCAATATGAAAAAAAAATTTAAAAATCTCACCACAGAGAGCCTCCAATGCTTCCTTTGGACATTTTTTATCTCCCACTGTTAACCAGTAACTATGCAATTTTTTTTTATTTTGATAATGATGCCTGGAATACTGGAAAATCTAACATTTACTCAGACAAAACGATTTATCTTGGTATAACAGGATCAGCATCTCAGCTGGGGCTTCTGGATGCTACTCTACTACAAACACATTAAAAAAACACAGTCAGCTGAAATTAATAGTATATTGGAGACATGTCCTTAGTCTCCTCACACGTGGAAAAATGTGTTGAGGATATTAAATCAGAACACAATAAATTGAGAGAAACGGATTTTTCCATAAATACCAAGCACATTAGATAGCAGCTATCACTAGTAACCAGCAGCGCTTCCTAAAATATTGCTACAACATTCTTAACGGATGGTTTTCCTTGTGGCTACGTAGGCATGTGTACTGTGCTAGCTCCCCCCTCCTCTTGCGCTGCAGTACGTAGGAAGCTATTATTCCCAAATGGAGCGTTTCCTTGCTGACATCACATGCGGTAGGATCCTTTTGTTTGCCTGTGTCTCCTGCATTTAAATGTTTGTCTGAGTCACAAATCCCGCTGCCTTTCTTCCTATGTCATGCTTGTTTGAGAGCTTCTCCCTGAGTCACGGTTTTTAAATTTTGACACAGTCCAGTTTGCTGCATGGCAATTGAGTACTTCTCCTTTTAATATTGTATTATGTAATGTATATCTAAATACTATAATGATCCAAAATTCACGGCCACTTTTTTTGCAGCTTTTTGAATAGAGGGATTTTGTGACTCAGATTCAGGACTGAATTTTGTTTCAAGGCAAAGTCAGTTTAGCGTTACTAAATTAAGAATTAGAGATAGTGACTCCCACAACTTGAATTCTCCTTTTAGCCTGCTGGCTGAGTTTCCTCAGCTATAACATTATCAAGCATTATGCCAGAAAGGGGTCATATGTGTGCATGTGTACAAACACTTCTCGTAATTAAAGTAATTACTAGTTTGCACTACAGTACCTTTCTTCTCCTTTAATAATCTTATTGATTTGTTTTCTCTTAATAAAAAGAGGACAAATCCCTGCTGTATTTTCAGTGTACATTCATGCTTTCATTTGGCTTAGATTCTGGAGCTGCTAATATATTGCTGGTGTCCAAGAAGCCTGGGTTTCCACTTCATTTAAGCCACGAACAAAACAGATCTCGATCACAGAATCTTCATTCTGAATGCTGTGGTAAAAGGAGAACATGGAAGCTAAGGGCTATGCAGCAGTTTGGTTCAACCTTGTGTGATGGTAAAATACTCTTAGTTACTAAGATAGGAACATAAAATTACCATGGTGGATTAAGTCTTTTGTCCTTCAGATCTAGTCTTTCATCTCTCTTGTTACCACTATAAGATAAATGAGAAGTTCAACACAGTGCTTTGATTGTCCTTGATCAAGGACTTTGCACCAGGTAAAGGCTAATGCCCCGATCTGGTACAGCATTTAGGCATGTATTCATCTGAAAGCATCCATCAGCAGCTCCACTGCCTTCTGCCCTGGTCTGAGGCACGTGAGCAGATTGCTGCATGAAACCTTGCTAAAATTCAGACACACACAAAAACAGATGAGTGATCAAGACCTCTGTCATGAAATGCATTGTACTACATGCTTGCATTTCATTGTTTTTTTACCCAGAATTAAAGTAGTTGTATTCTCCACCCCACCTCCAAAAAAAGCTGAAGTCTCTTGTTATAGAAAACATAGATTTTTATTACAAAAGTAAAATTATGCCATACACAAAGGAATTTCCTGCGAAAAATTTACACATTGCAGTCTCAATGTTAAAATAATGTCTGGAGCAGGAAGTTAAGTTAGAGTCTCTCGGGCTACCTTTGGTTCCATGGTCACTATGCAACTGTTCTCACGTAGCACACGTTTTTAAACATTCAACTTTTGAACTGCTATTACTTTTCCTCTTCTCTCCGCGGCCGTTTGCGAGGGTTCATTTCAGTACCTTCAGCATTTTGAGTGACAGCTGGAGGCTGCACATCTCGGAAGCCATGAGACTGTAGGATATAAGCAAAATCATGCGATGACACTTCTATGGATATAAAGCATGAGTAACTAGTTCCCAGAAGATCAGAATAAGGTATGATGCTGTCATTTATTTTAGATGAGTGGTCACAGAACGTTTATAGACCAGGCTAAGCTCAGAACTGCAAGCTTTTCAACACACGTGCCAATTAATAACTGTGTCTCCTCATTTTATTTTTTAAAGATATTTTCACCAACCAGGCTATCATTTTCATTTTACCACTAATAACCCCTATAGCTATAAACAGTCCTTCTCTGTAAATTAACTTCTGTTGCCTATTTAAATAAATTAAAACCCAAATCCTTCAGCCTTTATTCAAGCTCCCACAGAAGCAAGGCGACAACTGGACTAATTGTCTCAGTCATTTTCAGAAACAAAACCGTGAATGTCTAAAACCTAGGATATTTTTTGGCTCCTGTATCTACCTAATGAACTGAAAACATCCACGAGACATTGTAAGAGAACAGCACATCTGAATCAGTCTCAAGACTGCAAAGACCATCCCAGCATAGTAATTTATGGGACACAATGGGATGAGAACCTTTAACTGCCTAAACCTAAATGTAGAAGTGAAAACTAGATGCTGCTACTCAGGAGAGAGCTTAAAGTGATCTACTTGGCCTAGTACCATTCGTGTTTTCTGTTACCGCAGCTCACAATGATTTTAAAAGATTTTAAAATATGAAAGATCTGGAAAATCAGTTAGTTAAGCATGTCATCAATGCAGATGGAGATACTGAGATGTTATGTGAAGCCTGCAACTGTCTGTCTTCCCATCTCCAGACAAATACTAGGCAGGGAGCACTGCTGACAGCTCAGTGAGGACTCCCACTGCAGTGCAGACTTACAGAGGAAAAGGGGGTAATCAGAAAAAGAAATTGCTTTGGGGATCCTAAATGCTCATGTAGAGACAATGGGGGGATGAGAGCATTTCAGGAAAGCTGACATCTTAGGCTGGTGCAGTGTGAAAAAGCAGGCAGAATTACTATCAGACATGTGACTTTTCTAAAATGCCAGTGTGTCCCACACCAAGATCAATCCAAAACAAAACAAAACCCAATCAACACATTTTGCTTAAGTCTCCCATCCTTGTATTTCTATTTCTAAATGCCTCACCTCATGCAGCCTGCTGTTCTTAAAGGAACAAACTGCAAGAGGTGCCACGAGGGCAGAATTTGTGCAGTCCCTCTGCTATTATAAGCAACTGAAGTGTTATCCTAAATAGCGTAACAGGGAATCTTCAAGTTTAGTGTTTCACTGCTGCTTGCATCTAATCTCTGCCATTTCCCTTAGGCACAAAGGTGGATCTGTAGCCAAGAATCCACTTAATCCAGCATGCTAGACTCCCAGCGCAAGCATTCCAATGGTTATAAAGGCCAGAACACGATAAAGTAGGCTGCTTAGTATGGATGTTTTGCATTTAGTTAAAGGCATGTACCTTCTGGGCGTAGCCCCTCGAAAATACAGGAATTTTGTATGTATTTGTAAAGCTTGTTAGTGGTTTTTAGATGGAGAGATTGTAGCTAACAGAACCAAGGCTTAAAAAGGCTCACTGGACCTGCAAAGCTCAGATAGCCTACAGTATTTTGAGTTGTTCTCTTAACATCTTCTGGCATCTACAGACTGCATCAAGACTGACAAAGGTAGATGGCTTTACTATTTGAATGGTGTTCTCATTGCTAGTCTGGCAGACCCTCCACAGTTCAGGGAAATACTGGCAATTCCTACCCAGAATATAGGTCCTGGTTCTCTTATGTTTCATGACCAAATAATCAGGTCACATTACCTGGGAAATTCAGGTGAATCAGATTATCTACTTGCTCCCTTGTACATAAATCGATTTGCCTTTCTATACTCTGCATTTAAGAATGAATCCTTATCAGCCTGTGAAAGAAACTGTATTTTGTTTGATAGGTGTTCCACAGCTTCCAGTACGCTGGAAAGGACGCAGCTGAAAAAGAACTAGAGCGCGATCACTAAGTTATACACTTCTCCATCAGCTTACAGGCATTGAACACTCAGTTTGTTAATGGTACCAAAGCATCTAATTTGCATGAGCCTAAACATCTTTGAGGATCTAGGCTTGAGGAATTTATTATTTTAATTATCTTTTTTTGTATGCTGGTTATACATAGATGTGCTAGATCAGATTTGGAAACAGTGAATATGTATTTACATCTTCCACTTTAACTACAGAGATGAGAATGAGAAATGGTAACAGCAGACTGTTACCGTCAGACCTGAATTTCATGAAAGAAACAGGGATAATACACTTTTTACTTACAGAAACCGTCTGCTGAAGCAGCTCAACAGGATTAAGGGAAAAAACACAGGGATAATCTTAAATTTGAACTAATCTTTGATCAGGATACAGTCTTGACTGCATTTCAAGATTGTGTGCATTCACACAGAAGAAGAGAGCATATCTGGTTTATAATGCATATAAAACTGAAAGGAAAAGGCCATTAAACTGACTAAGATAAAATCCATCTGTCTGTCAGCTGTAGAGAAAGGGCTGCGCACTCATATCACATAATCCAAACAACCTTGGGATGTAGTCCCACTTACCCTTCCAGTTTTTACAGAACTAAGAAAATACATATATATTTGCAGTATTTCTTCTGTCCAGGTGAATACATTCAAGAGTGAAAAAAAATTCCGATTTCTGTTCAATAGTTTGAAGATTTCATCTTATGGCAGCATTAAAATCTGCAGGAAATGCTATGGCAACGTGTTTCCATGAGGACACATAGCAAACAGTTATGGCATGTACCTATGTATCTGACATTTGAAGATACAGGAGTCGAGTGGTGGGGTTATTTTAAACCTAAATACAGATTAGACAGGATATATTCTCATTAATATGTATCTAAGCACTCCACAAAAGAAAATAATCACGGGATTTAACTCGGGATGAATACAGACTCCAGCCATAAGCTGGAAGCTCCTCATACGATAGTGACAGAAGAGAAAAATCTGTATATATTGGCTGGTCATAGGGTCAGCGGTAGGAGGGAGCTATGAAAGAGATAAATACAACCTAGGTTATATCAGGCAATGCACTTCAAGCAGAGATGTGGAAATATGTATGGCACAAAGCACTGGCGAGACCTCTGGAATACCACGTATCATTCTGGTCACCCTTGTCCTAAAAAGATAACCTCAACTGGAACAGATGCAGAGAAGAACCTGCTTGACAAGGGAGAAAACAGCTTGGCTTGTTCAAGTCTCCAAAATGAAGGCTCAGAGAATGCGTGATTGTTCTCTGTAATTGCACTTAGGCCAAAAGTTAACGTCAAGGGCAGATAAAATAAGCAGTACTAGCACAGGAACAGATGGGGACAGGCTGCCTGTAAATTTGATCTGGAAATCAAAATGTTTTAATTCTAAGAGGACTAACACGTGGGGTCATTTTTCTAAAAAGAGGTGCAAAATATTCACAAACCTGGAGACACACCAGTATTACCAGTTACCTTCAAAAGGCAACTGAAGGGCAACACTAAGAAAGCAAACATCATTCTCAGATTCGTCTGTGTGTCCTTCACAGCTAACAATTTGCTCCCATCTCTGTATCTCCATCACAAAAGAAATACTAACTGTAATGCAATATGGTATGGTCGACTCCTTCTGACTCGGTGACTTGTACAACGTTGCCAACCTGGTTAAACAAAAAACCAGATAATTATGATTAGTGAGTACAATAATACAAATTCCAAGTAACTGAATGTCCAGACCCAAGTTTTCCCACAATCATGGGGTAGGTGGCCAGTGGAATTCTTATGTATGTGTTTTCATATAGGTCATTTAAACTGTGGATGCCAAATTCACATCCTCACATGACCTGTCAGCTCAAATACAATGTAGACCTACTAAAAAGAGTGAATGATTAATTAGCCTTGTTTCATCATAGTATTTGATCACATTTTTAGATATTCATTATGAATTAATTCCAAATTCCACTTTCTTAAAATCCAAACAAAAAAAGGTTTTGAGTACAACTCTTTCTTCCTCCATTAAGCAATCATTTGCTCATTGACCTCTCAACATTGGGAGACGCCCTCAAGAATTCAAACAATTCTAGGGAGGTTTTTTCTAGAGATTTCACAAGCCTGTCAATATAACCTAGTGGACGGAGAATGAGAATAAGACGTTCTATTTCTAAGCCTGATCTTGTCACTGACGTACAGAATAACCTTGAGAAAATCGTTCCTCTTGTATTTCTCCTCTAACACTTCCTTGATTTTGTGCATTTAGACTCTAAGCAATGCGTCTTGATTCGTGCTTATACAGCACCTAGCCCAATAGATGCTTGCATAATACAGGTAGAAAATTGCAAAGCAGCTCAAAAGCAAGGAATTTTTCAACCAGGGCTGCTAGTCTGCACCATGCCCACCTCCCCCAAACTTACACTTATGTAAAGCCAATACAGGAAGTGTTCTGCTCTCTATCAAGACACCCTGCCAAAGATCCCGTTAATTATTTTGGGGTTTTTTTTTCCTCCCTGAGGTGGCATTCTATTAGAGAGCGCGTAATTACAGCCTGAAGAACACTGCCACTTCATATTAGCTACACAGGGAATTCCTCAGAACATGTAAGTGGTGGGTTCTACTTTACAAAATAGCCGAAATCTGAAGCTGCAGAAGCCATGCTTTTACAAGCGCTCAGCTGGAGCTCTGCTGCGTGCCTCTGACTCAACAGGATCTTTCCTCACAGCAATGAGAACCCTTGTAATTAAGCTCTAACATTTTCAGTAGCAGAGAGAAAGAAAGAGACAGGTTATCATATTTGGCCAACACACAATTAAAAAAACCACAAAGGCAGATCAGTTCTCAGATGGTCATCTCTGGGCCTCAATAACCTAATATAAAACCAAGAACAAAACCACGATAGATCATCAGGTATAGGCAGTTCATGTAAAAATACAACAGAATCTAGCTATTTCTGCTTTTTACAGATAGGCAGTTGTAATCAGAATTGCTATGCTTCTGCAGGTCCTGCACCATATAAGCTGAAGCTTTAGAACAGTAAATAAAACATGTTTGTCTGTCTTTGGCTTGCTTTCTGGAACGTGCATCTACAGCCTTCCTAGCTGTGCTGCAGAAGAAAAAAGCTCTTTACTTTTGATATATAAAATTAACTTTTGTTCATTCTGAAATCGTTATGTTGACGCAACTTCTGTCTTATAAAGGCTGTTAACTAATCAGTGATGTTAATTTAATTCCAAATTAAACAGCCTGCTGTAATCATTCCGCATTGCCTTCAAACTTAGAATTTAAAAAACAAAACTCCACAAGAAAGCATCAGTGCATTTATCTTTCAAGTTTAACAAGCAAAACTATGCACAACAACATTCCAGCAGCATTTTTGTTCGCTGTTTGCAGAAGATTAGGGAATTGAAGCAAGGCTTCTTAATCTCAAGTTGCTGCATTGTGCTACTATATACAAGACAAATTTAACTGACCAGGAAAGAGAAGTGAGCTTGCAACATAGCGATGAGCAGAAAAAAGAACCAGGAAACAGAAAAAATCTCACTGCAACAGACAGAACTTCATCCTGTTTTTAGAAGGGTCATCTTCATTCCTTTGGGCTTCTAAAATCACCCTCCATGAGTCAGCTCTGCATGGGGAGCAAACGCAGCTCCCTTTCTGCCTCGCTGCAGGGCACTGTAACTTGGTATCTGCACAGCTGTCCGGTTCTGCAGAACCATCCTGCCGCATTCAAAAGTGGAAAGGTCCAACAGCTGCCACCGAGGCTCTGGGGTCAGCAGGCCTACGATCTGTCCTCCTCAGAATCACTATCTAGGTGGAAAGCCTTCTGGGGCATCTTTGGCTTTGTACTGACTGGAGCCTAAGACTGAAGCAAAGAAATTCTACTCTACTCCCTGCTTACAAAATGGAGACAGGGAAAAAAAAAAAATTCCACTTAGCCACCAGACCCTAAATTCTTGTGTCTGAGCAACCACCATTAGGATGTTATATTTTGATGAGACATGGCATCTTGCCAGAAAGAAGGTACAGCACTGCAGCAAGCTGACCGTGGTGAGGAGGAGGAGCATGACGGTCCACACTGTCTTAGGCTGAACTAGAAAGCTCTTCTTGAGCCTCAGTAGCCCAGGACACGGCACACCAAGGCCAGGAGTCAAATTCAAATTCCTGCTTGGCCACCAGAGCCAGTCTGAGAAAGATTCTCAAATGCCACACTTGTCAATATTACTCTTATACCTTACTGGCCTACATTTTCACTTACCTCTGACTGTTGTCCCAGTGAAAGATTAAACGGACAGTAGCAGCATGTCCCCAGCTTTCTCCTGGGTGACACAAAATGACAGGCCATTTTATTTATCTCCTATAAAAGCAGCATCATCAGTAAACCGAACTGAAATTAGACCAGCCTTCCAAAAAAACCCCATGATTAAAACATATATAGCTTCCTTGCAGTAATGAATCACATCTTTTTCATACGTGCAAGGATTTCACAACTAGTTTATCAAATATACTGAGACAATTAATAATCTCTATACTCACAGTACAGTGTTTTATAGAAAGCTTGATGCAATACTTCCATAATTGTAGGAAGATTTTATATGTACCTAATAAAGGACAGGTACTAGACAAATCTTGAAAACAGAGGCAGCATGAAGAAAAGATTTTTCTAATTACTACTGAAGAAGTCTAGCGAGTATGTCTAAATCCTACTTCAAAATTGTGATATTCTGTCTCTCAGGCATAATTATGAGCAAACATCACTCCCTTTGGGATACAAGCTTTGGGAGAAAGTCAATGATTATTAACGTATTAAGGGCCCCCGAAGCAGTCTTCTGCTTCTGACAGCAAAATGCAAAAGAACACAACCAAAAGCAAGGGGCAGGGAGGCGTGGTGGAAAAAGAGGAGGAAGTTTGGATTGCTATCCTACTGCAGGGGAAACAGTCCTACTGTTTCAGTTCACACCTGACCGCAAGCTCTGTCAATTAATAGACAGTTTTATCAGGTGTTTTCCTCTGTTTATCCCAGGAGACAGTCAGTAGTCCAAAGATGGATTGCATTTTAAAACAGTTTATGATTAGGTGCTGCAAGCCTCTCCTATTCCCCTGCAGAGCCCTGTAATGTCTGAATGACTTACTGGTCTCCATCATGGCACCAGTCCCACATGCCCCATGTGCTCTGGTATTCATTGTACAATGGAGAAGAAAAAAAAATGATTCAACTGTAATGAAGACTTAGACCTTCTAGGCACCCTGCCAGACCTTGCTCCACTATATCTAAGTTGAGATTAAAAATTTTGGCTATCAGGTAGAGTTTCGAGTCAAGAGATCAAAACATATTTTACAATGGGTACAAATTCCACACCAGAACGTTTCCAACTGTATTCAACATGAGAGAAAAATGCTACCGTAAAATGAGATATTTCTGAGTTAAACTGGCTCTAGATTAATATTTGACCTCCTTTCTAAATATATCCAGTAGAAATGTCTAGGAACACCCAGCTTAGCTATCACTAGTGGCAAAGAAAGCTGTCCCCTTCATAAAGCTCTTGACTTAATACCTTCCAGCATCTGTGCCTGATTTTTTTTTCATAATTAAGAACTTCTCTTCTGCTAGGAAGCTGAATAAGAGTTTAGAGATTAATGCTATTGTGAAATCTTAGAAAAGGCTGTTTCTAAGGTTCATCAGTCGATTGGGGAAAAAACTTATTTAGGGGAGGCAATAGGATTGATTTTACTTGGGGTCTTGCTGCTGACCCCTTCCTCGATAGTTCCTCTGGCTACAACCAGCCATGGAGGAGCAGGAGGTTCTTTAGACTATACGATGAGACTGTTGAAACAGCATCCTGTCAGAGTGGATTGTAAAAACCACCTTGTAATCCACCCGCTCAATACTTGCACCAGGTCTACGGAATAAATTCACACGTTTGTACCACTCTGAAATGCTCAGCTTGAGATACCGCTGTTTAGCATGAGGGGAATATCTCTTAGCTTAAGTATTTTACCAACTGGTACAAAGTTTCATTTTTACAAGAGTTCACACTACTCAGTTTAACAATACTATGTGGTTACGCACACATTCTGGTGAGAGTCACAATCCGTTTACGGTCAACATGAGGTTATGTCAAATGAAATGTTTGTAAAAGGAAATACGCGCAAGAATGCATGGTATCTCTTAATTATAACCTACTATGAATGTCTTCACATTCTTTACTATCCCTACAACTCAATAAACACAACAGCTCTCAAACAGCACTGGCTACTGAAAAAAGACAGAATCTATTAGCTTTAATTGAGTTTGTAGCCAGAAAGGCTGCCAAAAATAATACATCAGAGAGCAAGAGGCAAGAATGACAAAAAGGGTCAGATACTGGAAGCTGGGTCTGTATCTGCACGCACAGCTCAGAATTCCACATTCTTCACATTCTTGAAGGAGATGGTCTGTATTTGTTCATTTTATCTTATATCTGTGTCAAATGGTTCAATGCCTGCACAGACACTGAGAACATCTTTGCCTTTGTACTGTCCTCTTCTTCTCCCTCCCCTCCAGAACAAGGGAATCTTTACTTAGTTCACAGAAACTGAAGCTGTGGACAGAGAATTTGTGCCCTTTAAGTGCATTATAAAGTAATACAAAGTTACAACCTGAAATAAGAGTTAAACGCTGACCTTTTTCTTAATTTGTCAAAATCTCTACTTCTGAAGAACTGTTCTATTTTCCCCTGTGGCCGCAGCAGAAGAGTCTATATGAGGTACTTTGCTCATTACAGGGCAAAATGGAGCAGCCTGTAAAAACCACTTAAACTCACTATGGGCAGGCTGTAGTTGAGGATCCCACACAGAACTTCCCTCTGCATCATAACTGTAGACAGCAATGGGTAGAGAGTTCCAGCTATGCAGCAAATCTGAAATGCCTTTGCAAATAATTAATGGAACGCCTTCAAGCGTAGTGGCAAAATAAACAATTTAAACTGTTTTGGAGAGGCAGTGAATGATTCTCAGGGAATTTAGGACATTGCAGTGTAGTCTGAGGTATGCAACCGTTCAGCTCTGTTCTTCTGTTAGTGCTTTAACCTGTTCATTACCACAGTCCTGCTAGAGATTTAATGCCCCCAGGTCCATCCCTAATTTTTTGCATGATCATTCACTAGCCAATTTCAGTTTAAATCACTTGATTTATCAGAGGTTTACTTATTATTTGAATATCTCAAGATTGCCTGGCCCACTTTTGGCAGAAATGGATTGGGAGACAATCACACAAACAGCTCAGCCAGCATCTAGGCTGCGGCAGTGACCTCCAGCTGGGGTAGTGGCCTCCTTAGCTGACACAGCTGCAGCTGGAGCAGAGGTAACTCCACGGCCTAAGATCCTCAGGGGAAGGCTGCAATACGTTAGCTGCACATCTAAAAACCTAGTTACTCAGAGAGTTCTTAGTACCTAGTGCTTCCCCATAAAGGGCGATTTAGTCATCTTAAGGAATGTTGATAGATTTAATAACAAGTTTAGTATTAAAAATTTTGGTTTAAAAAGGGAAAAAAAAATCCAGCAACACTCTCAGTCTGCAGTTTCTGCAATCTGAAAATGCCATGACTTTGAAAAACATTTGTAATCTCCTTTCAAAAATCTAACCAGGATTCTAATCTGCACACCGTGTTTTAAGTTTAGAATAAAATTTCATAGTTGCTAACTCTAATCACAAGACTTACATAGATCATAGAATGGTTTGGGTTGGAAGGGACCTTAAAGATCATCTCGTTCCACCACCCCGCCATGGGCAGGGACTCCTTCCACCAGCCCAGGTCGCTCAAAGCCCCTCCAACCCAGCCTTGAACACTGGCAGGGAGGGGGCAGCCACAGCTTCTCTGGGCATCCCGGGCCAAGGGATCCCCACCCTCAGAGTAAAGAATTTCCTTCTTGTATCTAATCTAAATCTCCCCTCTTTCAGTTTAAAGCCATTACACCCTTGTCCTATCGATAGATAGATAAGCCCCACTGTAGAGTTCCACACCAGCAGTTCCAGATGCATCTAATATTTTCACCACGGATTCTGCTACACTGCAGAAATTCAGCAAACAATTTCATTTTCTTTGCACACGATGCCAGCAGAAAGGAAGTAGTATTTTTGAAGATTAACTCAGTTTTCAACTCACAAGCTAAACACCTACCTAAAGCAGGTACCAATGTGGACTGGCTTTGTCCAATCCTTGTTGTCATTTGGTTTGTCAGAACTACCTGAAAGGGAAAAAAGAAGCAAACAAGAAAAATCTCCAGAAAAGCAGCATACTGGTGGAAGTGAAGAGAGGGATTTTTCAAAAAGCTTTTACCAATACAGTAGTTACTCAGGCAAAACTTTTGCCAACCGTAATGAAGCTTCTGTGTTAACAAGAAGAAACTGTAGAGGTGCCTCATCTTTTCTTAATAGCCAAAACAAAATAAGAGAACCGTGCAAAATGTATTTTCAGTTTGCATAGAAGGCAGATCTCTTTCATTCGAGACTTTAAAGAAAACTACATTTCTCCCTTCCCAAGGGATGCAAACTCTACACAACTTGTATATTCCATCATATTTGCACTAAATACTGTTCAGATCTGTATTTAGATGCATATGACTTATACTAGCCCTCTATAAAGAGACAGATTTCAGTCACTGTGGCATAAGTGAACTTGCTGGTGCTGCTCAAAACATGCATAAGCCTAGTGATTAACAGAATTTCTGCACCTTGTAGTCTAAAAATGCGCAAGTGGGTACAATACAAAGCAGAATGAAAGTGAACAGACAGAGCGGGGGAGTGTTTTCGCAGCACGAATCACTCGTAGGAGGTTCACAGACAGTCTAGGTTAGATCCCTGGTAGAAGTGGGGGTGGTGAGACAGAAAAGAGCCAGGAATATTAATTGCAAAGTTCATTAAAAATGAAAAATAAAAAATAAAAAAAAATTGTACCTATCTTAAACCCTAGGCGTTTTCATTGTTTGACATGCTTGCATGATTCTTGCTTGAACAGTTAGAAAAGTGTGCTCGAGCAAGCAATTCCACTGAGCACACGGGGCGCACACCAAAACATTTACATAGCTGAAAGCCCCAACACATATTGCATATTTTAGAGAAGTAACTCATCATATATGGGTGGTAACAGCCCCAGACAGGCTCCCCACCTCACTGCTGGAGACAGGCTGGTCTGGGCATCCTAGCACAACCCACCGAGTTCAGCTTTAGAAACTAAAGGAACTTACTTCGTACGATATTAGAGCATTCAGACTGCCCAGCTTTGCTGCCCAACAAGCAATCTCTGGCACGCAAGCTCAATTTAGACTGCTCGCAAGCCACGTGGAACTAAATCAGAAACTAACAAGAGGGCCACTCTGAGCTAAATCATTTCTGAGGCTCTGTGACTGATGACTTCTTTAGTAAGTGTTTATTTGGCAAGCGTTTGTACCAAGCTGCTTGCTTGTTCAGTAGAAACAAGTTATATATGTTTCCCTTGACTGAAGAAAAAAAGGACTGCACAATGACAACTGCTCCTGTTCAAGGTCACCAGGTACCCAATTCATGAGTGAAAGCACTCAGTAAACGCGAGGCTGTGCAAATCAAGCAGTCATGTAACACTCGACTCCCTTGTGCCCACACCAGCGGGAAGAAGCTTCACAATTCACGTCAGGATGACAAGGGTACGCTTTCAGCAGCAAGCCCAATCGCCCAACACAGGCGGAATGTAGAGCTTGCGCTTTCCCCTCCTGCAGCTATCAGAGGAAGCACAAGGGGAGGTTTATTTTTAGCAGTTAGGAACAAAAGCCAACTGCGCCAGAGAGTTGCGGGTGACAGGGTTCCAAGTCACCTGGAAACAGTTACAGGCGCAAGCACCATTTTGAGACTGTGTGAGCCCTAATTCCTGAACAATGCTCTTCTGTGCTGTAAAAGATTTGCCAAAACAACTTCTGGAACAGAGGCAGCTTCCCAGTGCCATCTGCTGGCTATGCCGCCGTGGATTTGCTGGCCTCCATATTGGCGTAAATGACATAGAAACAATGCCCAGGAAGGAAGCGAAGGGTTTCCATGGATGCCAGCAGAGCAAGCCGAACTAGCAGATAAAGTGGTTTGCCTCCCTAAGAACAGTTCCTCTACTAAGACGGTGGTTTATTTTTAAATGAAGAGTGGAAAGCTACATTGGAACTGCTGAATCCTCTGATGTATTTTAACGTGTGCGCTTTGTCGGTTAAACTCACCAAAGGCGCATTCCTTGCCCAACCAAATCATGATGTGAAACAGCATGACAAATTGATATGCTACCACGTAATTAAGATCCACAGGATGCTTTTAATGCAAAATTTACTTGTTTTGGCATGTCTAAGAATTTTCCACCTAAACAGTTTAGCCTGTGCGATCCATCTATATTTACTAACCAAACTGGCAAACACAAATGCAGAGGACGTTCTTGCCGTTTTATTTTGCTATTTACAGACAATCACAAATCACATTTGCTTATCTCTTTCTAGTGTATTTATTCCAAAGTAGCATCTTTTGCGATTTAAACCTGCTCCAGACTTACCGCTGATTTATGATCATTTGCTATGATGATTAGCTGTTGTGCTAGACCATTCAGAAGTCTTGTTCGAAGCGAGAGGTCCTCAAAGTCATGCCGAAAAGGAAATGCAATTCCATCAACCACCACCAGCCGGACCTAAATGCAGAAGGGAACAGGAAAAACTACCATGACTATCCTACAAATCAATGACAAAAAGTGGTAAGACCTCTTTTTAAGTGCACTGGAATGTTTTATATAAAGGGATGACAATCTTTTATTTCATACTCCGATGTGCATGACAGCGTAACACCTTTTGTCTCTCTATATTGGAGACAATCAGCACTCCCCAAGAGTGCAGGGTGAAGACCCTCAAGCTCCAAACACACTGGTACACTTGCCAAGTGCAGTGTTGCATCATGGATAGATACTAGCTCAGACCATAGCTGCACTAGCTTAAACAAAATGCTGCACTAAGCTCTCCCATTAGTTAACTCGGCACAGAGCTGCCCCTCTGACTGTTTCCAGTTTCAGAGCTTGCTCCCTTACAGCTAGCTGACTTTGCAGCACCTGGTACAGAATACAAAATAACAAAGCTAGACTTAAAACCTTGCAGCAGAGAAGCCGGAGGGGAAAAAAAAATCGTTATATATTGGAATTGTACTTCAATCAACCCTCCAGGAACACTAATTTATTTCACCTTCTGCCTTAAAAAATAAAGCCCCAACCAAAACTAGAATATGTGCTGTCTGCAGTCACTGTTAATATAACTCTTCTGATTCTAAGGCTCGTATCAGTGATCTGTCTTAAAAACATGGATTTTAGCAGATGCTTAAAGACATTCCAGACACTACACAATGGAGCTGAGTATCTATCTTGCCTGGAGATGTTTGCTCTGCTGAATTATTCTTTTTGTAGCAATCATTAGCTGAAGCTAGAGCATAATGCTGCCACTGGCTCATCACCCTCAAGATGCTGTATAAACACTAGTGTGGGATTTTGATTTATTCTAGCTTCGTTTGTTGTAGCTGTTTGGATGACCCAAGTTTGTCTGAAATACGGAAGGGAGACGGACAGCCTTACAGCATCTGCGTGTTCAGATGTCACTCAAATCCTAGGCACTACAAGCTCCTGCATTAATGCACAGGATAACAAACTGGAAACAACACAAGAAAACTGATTTTCTGTATTATAGATTTAACTCATTACTGGAAAGTAGCTTTGTGGCTGGAATGTAAAAGCCTGCAGCAAACATCACTCTGTGAAATGGCCCTAGGCCTCCAACTGAAAAAAAAAAATCTTAATTTGACAGAGAAGATTAAATAGCTAGAATTAAAACAAGATATTCCTCTATTTTGTCATTTTTCCTCCTTCCTGCAAATTCTTTTCTATGAACCTGTATCCTCCTCATCCAGAATTTTTTTTAGTTTAAGAACAATCAGTTTAACAGTACAACCATGACTCACGCTAGAAAGGAATGTATATATAGTTACATAACTTGCCTATCAGATGAATATGTCCAGGTAGGATGCAATTTAGTTTATTTTCTCTCAGTTGTACTTGTTATAAAATAGCAAACAAGTATTCAAAAGTAGGCTATATTGAGAAAGCTTGGCAACACATCCCTTCTCCACGTCAGCTTGCCTCTACTAGATCTTCAAGAATTATGTTTATTATGACAAGAGTATTTTCTAACATAGTCTTTTTCACATCATTGATCTTCCTCATATTATTAACAAGATCTCAGACTAATTCATATTTCCAAATGACACAACTCTACAACTACGTACCTCTCAAAAAACACCCTCAGACCTGGAGGTTTCCTGTGATCCCATTCCCAGCTCCAGGCCTGCACAGAGGGATCAGACTAATTTTAATGAGAGCTGGGCTGCAATCTGTTAGGTCATTTATAGCCTGTCCAAGGAATCACCAGAAGGTCTCACCGTTCTCCTGCACCCTCCAGTATTTCAGGCTCCAGGCCAAGCTCAGATAATCAGCACAGATGGTACCAGAGAACTGCAGCCCAGTGTAACTGTGCTAATGAAGCCATGTACTTTCCACAAGAGCAAACACAACAGGGCACCGTTAGTACCTGGCAGAGAAAGGGAAATACCAGACTACACTAAGCAAAAGTAAGACTCCCATCTGTGCTTTCAAGAGCATAACAGCTTCCAAAAATGGAAACGATGTGCAAAAGACAACCTAACTAAACAACACTGATTTGTGCTCCGTCAGAATGAGGCACAAGTCATCTTCCTTGAACCCTGTTGGGGAGTGATCTGCTGTGCAGAATCTAGAAATCTGGAAGGGAGGTGGTGAAAATCTGCCTTACAATTGCATTTCACTAAGACACTAGGTACTAGGAAACTTTTTGGCTGCAGTCCACCGAAGACTCAAGCTGCAGGCTCTGGTTGCTTGTAGCAACAGGAGATGTATTGGAAAAAAGAGTCACTTTCTGGATGCCAGGATGCTGCAGGACACTTCTGGTCCTCAGTGATCTTCTAGGACAAAAAAAATGGCACTAAGGCTTTGTGATCCCCCTGCATTACGATCACCACACGCACACCTAGCTCAGAGACTCTCTTGTAGAGCAGTTTTGTGATGATTCATAACTCGGTGCTCACAGAAGTGTCACAACATGTGGCAACATAGATCCAGTATCCTCCCCTCAGAGTGGAGATTCAGGATGATGGCAGCAGTGGTAGCAAAAGCAAATTACTCTCAAGAGTCGAGATCGAGATGGGAATGCAAAAGCAAACAAGCAAGCTTTACAGTTGTACTCAGCCAATATACTACTGCCAAGCTGATGAGGTACTAAGGTGTTACTTGTGTTACTCCTATTTTACCGGATTAGTATCCCTGAAAATCTTTACTGTGAAGATGAGTCATACCTTCTGCTACGTCTGCAATAACCCTTACCTTTGAATGCTCTGAAAGAAAGTCTGGGAGGAGGTAGACCTGTGCAAGAAGCTCTATGTAGTCACGGCAACGGAAGTAATATATGTGAGAAAGGACACTTTCAAGAGAGAAAGTCTCCAAAGCTTTTAGATGATCTGAGAACAAATAAATAGATGAGTAAATGAGTCAGAAGTCTGTACTAGCATATTGCTACTTTCATCATTCTACCAAACTATGTCTTCCACATATAGCAACAGCAAAACCCTCAGAAACAGAAACAGTCGAGGTAAAGAGTGTGGGAAACATAACTTCCATCTGGCTTGAAAGTCAAGAAGGTGGTGAGCAGATGCTATCTCAGCATTTGCCCATAAATATAGCAGAGCCTCCAAGGGAGCGCTCCAAATATGAAAAATGTATTTCTGAAAAAATAACTTTTCCAGTAAATCATTTTCAAGCCAGAACACCACCAGAGGACAACAGTCAGTATTAATCACCCATTGTTTAAAGTACAGGCAGTAGCTCATTTAATATGGTGGCCTTTACCTCTATTCAAACAGAAGTTTGCTGCATAAAATGCTCTAAGAGTAACAGAAAACTTGTGTCAGTATCCCCAACACACGACTTACAGAACAAAACTATTCATTAAATGCAACCTGGCTATATTGACCTTATGAAGGAGCAGAATTCCAGCTACAGTTTTACAATATGGGGCTTCAACAGCAACACTGCCATAAGAAATTCTGCTGCTCCTCATGCAGAAAAATAATTACTCTTAAAGTAGATCAGCTCAATCTGCAGCATGGCTCCACACACTGACGCAGTTCGGGGTATGATGCAGGTGGAGATGAAAGGCTGGCAGCGAGAACTCCTTACGCCAGCGCTGCTGCTGAAACCCTCAAAGTGCAGAACTGCAGCCTACGAGACACTCGTTTCACTCAGATCCTAGCCCATTAGGCAGAGACTTAGCAACGTACCTTCTTCCTGATGAGCTTCAGCAATGAGCTGGCAGTGCTGCACACAGGCAGCTGCGATGTCCACTACTCTGTCTACCATAAAACTTCCTTCCGTATCAATGAACACGGCTTCTCCAGCTACGCCCCCAAAGCATTCGGGGATCTGCACGTCTACTGCCAGCTGCATACTGCCAGGGGAAACAGAAGAAAAGGTAAATATTCACATCACAAAGCTCTCCCCTCCAAACTCACTCCTAAAGTGACATTTCTGCTGAGCAATACACAGAACAGGAAGCAGTACAGCCATTGTCATGATGAGATTTATAATGCTGTAGAAGAATCAGAGACTGCAGTCATGACAACAAGAAAAATAAACTCGCTTCATAGTCAAATTAAACAAAGAAAACTGATTCGCAGTTGCACAAAAGTAATCTATAAATAAAATACCATAGCTGTGTTTTCCCAACACCAGGTGCTCCACAGATCTCGGTGATTTTTGTTAGCTGCACACCACCTCCCAGAATATTGTCTAGGGCTGAACAGAAGGTGATGATGAAGCCCTGGGCTTGCTCCTCCTCCAGAAGTTCGAGTGCCGTGCACTTCCTGGTGGTGCCTGAGCCCCCAGCAGCCCTCGCTGCGTCCCCGTGACACTCCTGCCTCACAACCTCCAACGCTGCCAGTGCCTCTTCTTTGGAGATTCCAATCTCTAGAAGAGTCAAAACCATGAAAAGCTACTTTATTTTATAAACAGTAATTTATTTAAAGTATGAAGAGGTAATTCAACTTGTTTGACAGAACCTGATCATTCTGCAGTGTAGCATAAAAATATAAATCCTTTTAGTACAACGACACACACAGCTTGCCAACATCTCCGGAACCGATGAGGTGATTTTCAAAAGAACTCAGAGCAACGATGCCCTGCGTTCAGAATTCAGGTGACAGTAAGCGATCTGCAAATAGAAAAATCAGAACTGCTGCTCACAGACGCGCGTGGGACCTGACGGAGCAATTCCCCTTTCTGCACGGAACGCGCCATCGCGTTCACTTCATCCGAAGCAAGTCAGGTGCTGTGGCAGAAGTCCGGCTGCAGACTGGTCAGTGACAGCGGCAGATCGCGCTCTGAATTCTCAGGGTTATTCCAGGGCTGAGCACCTTATGCATTATTTTAAGATCTGAAACGCAGACTAACAGCGACGAGGCACCTGCATATGGCTGTGTGTCTGTCCCTACACACCCCCGGCTGTCAGCATCGGGCTACTTCACTTTGCTCCTCAAGGCAAAACTATTACTGTGTACAATCACGGGTAACAAATCTACTGATGGTCAAAATCACGACGTGCTTCTTACAATGGCTGCGCAAACCTTATTTGAGCGCCTTGAAAAGGCAACTTTCTGACTTCACAGAAGTGTATTTTGTTCAAAGCCTGTAGGGGTGGGGGAAGCAGAGGAACGAGAAGGACAGAATCCTCTGCTATCCCATTTACTCCGATCGCTCAGTGCAAGAAGGATCTTCGCTCAGAATC